CAGGGCTGGGCTCTGGTCCCTGTGGGTCCCTTCCCATTGAGGAGATTGTGTGCTGGAGTTCCCTGAGCCACCCTCGCAGCTCCCCTCTCTGTGCCCTTACCTGGCCCTGTTTGGTGCCCCTGCTCAGCCCCAAGGAACAGAGCCCTGCTGGGGTGCTGGGGCTCTGTCCCTCACTGTGGGCAGCAGGATGTCCCCATCACCAGCAGGGCGGGTTCTGTGCTGGCTCTGCAGCAAAGCTGGGCTCCCTCCCTGCCTGTGGGCGAGGGGATGTGGCCACAAGGAGAGGTTAACGCTGTTTGTGTCCTGTGCAATGCCACCCCGGGATGCTCGCCTGGATCCAGACTCTCTCACTGGGGAAGACTCTCTGCTTGACTGTTCTCTGCTCTCTAACCCTGCTGCTGACCTCCTGGATGAGTTTGCTCCTGTAGCTTTCTCAGCTCAGCCTCACAAAGGTAAACTGGCCCTCGTGCTTCACAGGCACAGCTGCTCTGGCCTCTTCTGGAGCTTCACTGCCCCCAAGCCACTGCTCTGTTTTCTTCCCAAGCTGCTCAGACTTGGAATGTGCCCTGATGTACTGAGGGAGGGCGAAAGTCAATTATTCAGCTTGACTGTAAAGACGGAGTTTGTGCAAAGTGGAGTTGTTTTCCATGGGGGTGGGCTCTGTGTGCAGCCCTTCCTCACTGAATGCACTCTGGGTTTGCTTTTTGCACGTGGCATTTGAGACTGGTGGGTTTTTCTGCATTATTCATTCCAGAAGGGAGCCTGATAATCATCTGCCATAAGGCTTTGGAACAAAAGGAATTTTTTTGTGGTTTTTGGAGTAGCATCCCAGGCAGATGAGCTCTTGCAGCCCTGGGGAATGTTGTCCTTATCAGGAGAAGTTCCTGAGCCCCGCTGTGGTGTCACAGCAAACTGAATGGGAGCCCAGGGACAAGGCCAGGGGGTTCCTCAGGGTTGTTTTGCCTGGGTCTGATCCCCCGAGCACAGAGCAGCTCCACAGCTGCTTTCTTGCCTCACCTCTCCCCAAACCTGTGCAGTCTTGGTCAGCTTTGGGTGGAAATCTTTTATTCCCAGCAGGAGTCAGACAGGAATGTTGTGTTCATGGAAACTGTTGGGTTGATGTGTCCTTGCTGGGCTTTCGGGAACATTTCATGCAGGAGGTTTGGGAGGGTATTTGAGGTGTCTGAAGGAACAAGGAGTGATGCCCAGGGAGTGTGAGAGGCTCTGAAAACACAGAATTGCCTGATGAGGTGGATCAGTCATCTCCTCTCTGGAGATGGTTGGCAGTGCCTCTCCCACGTGTTGAGCTGCAGCTGATGTGCTTTGAAGTGATGGAATTATCATCTCCCAGAGCTGCCCTGGGGGCCTCTGGAGAGCCTCTCACAGCATCTGGGCACTCTCCAGGCAGGTGAACTCCTTGCACATCTGCCTTTATGCGGTTTCATTGCTCGGGGTTTGTCTCAGGTGGATGACTGGAGTCTCCTCTGTGGTTTGTTTTGTTCCCCAGCCCTTTTCCTGTCCCTGTGCCTGAGCCCTCGCACCAGGAGCTCCCCCGGGCTCTGCTCACCTTGCAGCTGAGCCCTCGGAGTGCTCAGGCTCTGTTCTGGCTCCTGCTTGCTTTGGTTTGATCCCCTCCACTCCTGTGTTTCATTGCCTCTCTTCTTTCCTGCCCACACTTAGCAACTTCATTTCACCTTTTAAATTGAACTCCTGCTTCTAAACCCTGTCTCTGAAAACATTAAACAGAAACCTGTTCTAACACTCCTGCAATTCTAACCAGCCTCTCTGCTGTCTTTGCTTCTTTGCCCTTATTTCTCTCTATGCTGCAGAAGATACTAACCTGATATCAGGCTTTGATGCTCCTGAGGGCTCTGAAAAAGTGACAGAAGATGAGTTTGACCCAATTCCAGTGTTGATATCCAAAAATTCACAAGGTAAGCCAGGATGTGGGAGCGAAAAAGGGAAGGAAGAAAGGCAAGCAGTGGATCTGTAAATGAGTTTTGGGGCAGTGGTGCTGCAGCACGGGGTTGCAGTGTGTGAGATGGGAGTGTGGTCCCTGTCCCAGCTCCCTGAGGGGCTCTGGGCAGCAGAGCCTGTGGCAGCTGCTGATTGCAGCGTGCTGGCCCCGGTGCCCTGGAGATCCCTGCCAGGAGCAGAGAGCCCTGCTGGGTACCACAGAGCTGTGCTGAGTTCACTGAGCTGGGTCCCCTCTCTGCAGGCTCCCCTCTGCAAGGGTTTTGTGATTACCTGGGGAGGTGTAAAGACAAATCCAGAACTTTTTTGTGTGTTTTGGGGGGTTTTTAAAGGCTTTTTTTGCCTTTTTTTTTTCTCAGTTAGGTCACAAAACCTTTTGGCCTCCCTAACTCCCATTCTTGGTCTCAGCAGGAATGTGCTGAACCTTGCTCTGCACCAGTCTTGGCTTTCAGAGGCTGACACTGGTTAGGAACAGTTCAGACATTACACACTCCTCTGGAAGTGAGGGATTTCTCCCCAGGCTGGGCCAAGACAGGGTTGGAAGCAGATGGACTCTGAGGTCCCTTCCAACCCAAACCATTCCCTGGCTCTCTCCTTTAGTACCCAAGCCCCAGTCCCACGACAGCCCAGTTCTCCTGGACGCAGCTCAAAGCACCCAAAGGTGCTCCTAAAATAGATTCCAATATTTAAAATTCTGGCCTGTCCTTTCTGTGGGCTCTGGGAGTGTTGAGTTTGTGTTAGAGATCCCTTAGCAAGGACAGGGTTCTGGATAAGCTTTGTGGAAGGAATGGGTTTGTAGGGATTTGCTGTGCTGGTTTGGTTTGGGGGCAGAGGGTGAACAGCAGGCAGGGGATTCATTGCTGTGCTGATGCAAATAACGAGAAGAGCTTGAGCAAATTCTCTGTTTTGCTTTGACTTTTTTCTTTCTTTCTTGATCTTGAACTTCTGAAACTGTCATGTGTGCGTGTGTCCTGCTCAATACTGAATTCCTATCTCTCACACTTTCAGGTGGGCATTCTAGAAACAACAGTGGAAGCTCTGAGTCCAGTCTTCCCAACATAGCCAGGTCTCTGCTGCTGGTGGATCAGCTCATAGACCTGTAGCAGTGACACAGTAGCAGTTTGTGTACCTACCCACACCTCCGGTTTCCTTGCCAGAAGAGTTTCCTTCCTTGTGCTTCTTTGGGGCTTTTTTTTGTTTTTTTCTTTTCTTTTTTCTCCTTTAATTAAGAGAAAAACCTGCCAACAGGAGACAGTCCCCCAGCTCTCTGGCTGTCCCCCGTGGCCTGGGGAGGGTTTGGCTCAGCTCTGCAGTAGCCTGGTGTGTGTCAGGCTGGGTTCCCCCGGCCCTGCTCAGGGGGCTGGGGCTGCTCTGGGACCCTGCCCCAGCCTGCTGTCCCCGGGCAGGGCGTGAGCAGTGCAGCCCCAGCTGGGCTTTGTGCTTTGGGCTTTGTGCTCTCTGTTCCCCAGGCTGGGCAGGGCCGGGGGACAGCGGCAGGGACACCCCTGAGCTGCAGGACACGGGCCAGCAGAGCTGGGGCTCTGAATTGCTGCAGAGCAGGGGCAGCCCCGGGTTCCTCCCGGCCGTACCCTGGGCATGGCGCACATGAAGAGTTTTCCAGCTGCCCCCAGCTCTTGGTTTGCTGTTTGACAATCCTGCTGGGAACTAACTGCTCTTCCTGGGGGAGGGAAAACAGAGAAAAGGAAAAAGAAAAAAACCAGATTGTTAAAGCTGCAGAAATGACCCTAAGTGAAGCGTGACAAGGTTTTGAACCAAATCCATGTGAGTATGGCTGTGACCAGTGTTTCACTGACCTTTTTTGGGGTGAAAAGGGCGCTGTGGCAGCAGCAGATGTATTTTCTGTGACTTCTTTTCTGTGTTTGACTGGAAAAAAAGAAACTCCCCTCAACCTACTGTAAATGGTGTATGAAACAAATTGTCCTCCGGCTGTTTGTCTATTTTTAATCCTGGTTTTAGTCGAGCATCTGGTATCTGTTCTGGGTTCTCCATTTTCTCTTGTAACTGCTATAGTGCACCCCAGTTCAGTATGGAGCCATTGTTTCAGTAGACAAAGATTCCTGTGGGCCTCTCTCCACCCCAGTCTCTGTGACCACGCATGCCCTGGGTTCAGGTGGTTTGAAATCAGTGCTGCTACAACTCGATGGGTTCTCCCTTTTCCTCGCCCCTCGCTTGGTTTGTCCGTAGCTGGATCCGCTCAGCTCGTTCTCCTTGGCTTCCCACCGAGTCTGGAATCTCTCTCTCGTGTTTGAAAGCCCTCTCTGAGCAGAAGGACTCTTCCTCTGTAGTGGAACCCCCCAGCTTCCTGCTCCCCGTGTTTGTGTTTGTAGCTGTATTAGTGGCGGTGCAGTTCCCCCGTGCGAAAGTGCGAGCGACTGAATGTGTCTGTGCTGACCTCGCTGGGAAGGGAAGAACCCCACGTTTGTGACTCCTCCTCTCCTCTCCTCTCCTCTCTCCATCTCCTCCCAGCCCCACACTTAGTTTAACAAATTCTGTACATAGAGCTCCCATCGGTTGTGTCTCTACATTACTCTTCTTTTAAAACCTACACTTACTAATAAAAGTATTGCTTACGTGTGTTGTATCATTACATGTGTATACTGCACTTTCCAAGAGAAGCTTTACATGAGAACTATGGAAATGACCTTAGTAAAATTGTGGATAGAACTTTATTATTTTTTTGTTTTATATTCCTAAAGCACAGGCGAGCTGGACTGGAAAACACGAAGATGCTATAGATAGAAAGTTATTGTATAGTCAGATACTGAGATTATATGAAAAGAGAATGGATTTTAAAAAGTAACCATCTACTGTATATTAGAAACAAAGATTTCTGTGAATTAAAGTACTTTTAAAGAATGTTTAAGATTTTAAATCTAATGGCGCTTGTTCAAGGGTTCTGGAAAAAATGACAAATGCACTGGGTTGTTAATAATGCTATTAAATAAGCAGATGTGAATGTTTATTTTATTGCTTTTTCAAGTAGCTGTTCCTGGGTGTGGGTGGAAATGTGATATTCTGGAGACTGTTCTTAGACCTCCTTCATCAGAAAATACTCACCATGTGCTTGCAGAGCGAATGGGATTGAGAGATGAGTGGAGATTGGGGATTCATTTTAAACTCCAGAAACTGCGAGTGTGCCACGGCTCTGGGCTGGGCTGGTGCTGCTCAGAGCCGAGGGGTTCGTGTGAGAGCCTCACCCACCCTGTGTCCCG